AACAAGCAGATAGTAACAATAATGTAGATTGTGAAATATGATGAAAAAGCAGACTTTTATCGTATATAAAACAAATAACGTCGTTTCGATTATACGAAACATCTGTCCACTCATTTTCTGCAATGCAAACGTGATTAATTATAACCAAACGTGCAGACTGCTTATAATAAACTTTAAATTTTCAATAATACAAGTGTCTGCTACGAGCATAACACACTCGAATCAGCACGTTCAGTATTCCTGGAATGCAGCATGGGCTTTAACCTGTGAGTCATGTATGTCACGCGACTGACCTTTCAGTATCAGTAGGGCCTCAGAATTGTTGGGACTGACCCTCGACTCTCCACTGTGATACATGTCACAGCCAACGTCATTTGAAGAAAGTCCATGCATAGGGATAGTTCAGTAATACAGACCGTGTCGTATGCATAAATTAAAATGATATACTGAAACCTGATGTGACAAAATGGTAAGTATTGTTATTTCTCTTAGTTTATATCATAGATAATCCAGGAAGATTACACAAGTCAATATGTATTTGTTTCATCTACGGTCGTTTGTAAAACTGTACTACATTGTAGTTATATGTAGAGTTTGGACATTTTACGTATGTTCAATAACCCTTTTCAGGGCTACATAGATCTATTGTGTATGGATATATATATATATAGTTTGAATGTTGGCAAGAAAAAATAGTCCGTTTTAGGACTAAATTCTAATTAAATAAATATACGAGTAAATCATTTAATCCAATTCTAACAAAATGTTAACTTTTCAGTATTAAAACACTGTTTATTATTGAAGTGAAATAATAAAGTTGGCCATAATAATAATTCAAAATTAATATCGTGACAGAAATTTTAGCAATCTCTAGAGAAACTACTGTAGTCATATATGTAAATCCTCCAATCGAACTGTACCGCGTCATAATTAGTGATACATATATAGGGTTTGAACAAGAAATAGTCCAATACGTAGATTGTTAGCATATTGATATGTCTCTGCATATACTGTAGTGTATAAACATTCACAGAGTAAGACATACGTGTAAAACATAAAAATGTTCAGTATGACGTAATCACATGTGGAGACACCTTGATATCTATTGATCTAGAACACCCTCTGGTGCTATGCTTGTGAACTACGTAACAAACATCTGCCTATGGATCATAAAATAAACAAAACAAGCCATCCTAAATGACACTTTAGCCACCTTAGCAACACTCCCATAAGTTACACATCTTGGAACTATCCGCTATCTGGTGCCACTTTGTAGAACTATGACGTCACGTGACCTCCTCTCTCAAAGGATAGAAAGGGAGTCTAGTATGTTATTTCCACACCGGATATCCTACGTGAGGATGTTGATGCAATTTATATCCAAAATAGATATAAGTGATGACTTGTGTTTTAAAGATATACGATATAAAGGATGACTTTTGTTTTATTTACACAGAGATACGATAGAAGAAAGGACTTGTTTCTTATACCCACAGAGATAGGTTACACATAACGTTTTTCTTTATATATATATATATATATATGACTTATTTTGCTCTAACTCACATGGCACGTAACATATACTTCATGTTTGATAAATAATGAAAATCCATCATATCTTTAACATGTGTTTTGTTTTAGGACCTTTAATTAATAATAGACATATTGAACTAAGTAGGAAAGCTTGGAAAGTTTTCCTCTTGAATGTTAGGCTGGCTTGTACTGAAATTGAGGAAAAATTATTTATTTAATATGTGAATTATCCTTATAGTCAAGTTGAATCCTACTAAGATTTAAGTTTAGATTTATTGTACTTCTGTTATAATATAACAGTCAAAGCTGACGTGTAAAACGTATAAAAACGAAACATAAAAATTAATAGTGTAATATTTTTTTGAGATTCAGGTTTTATACAACTTCGCTCATCACTTTTATGTAAACTATTCGTAAGATCTACAAAACAACTGGTACAAAAATACAATTATTGTGCAGAATAACCAGTATAACAATATTCAGATCCTATAAAGAATAACCAGTACAACAATATTCAGATTCTGTATAAGACAACCAACATAACAATATTCAGATCCTCTACATATATATATAGGACAACCAACACAACAATATTCAGATTCTATATAAGTTTGTTTGTTTGGAATTAAGCACAAAGCTACACAATGGACTATCTGTGCTCTGCCCACCACGGGTGTCGAAACCCGGTTTCTAGCATTGTAAGTCTGCAGACATACCGCTGTGCCACTGGGTGGCTTCTGTATAAGACAACCAACATAACAATATTCTGATCCTATAATGAAACACCACCACAACAATATTCAGATCCTATAAAGAAACACCACCACAACAATATTCAGATCCTATAAAGAATAACTAACTTAACAATATTCAGATCTTATAAAGAACCACCACCACCACAACAATATTCCGATTCTACAAAGAACCACCACCACAACAATATTCCGATCCTATAAAGAACCACCAACATAACAATATTCTGATCCTATAAAGAAACACCACCACAACAATATTCAGATCCTATAAAGAAACACCACCACAACAATATTCAGATCTTATAAAGAAGAACCAACATAACAATATTCAGATCTTATAAAGAACACCCAATACAACAATATTCTGATCCTCTACAGAATTAATGGTACAAAAACATACTGATCCCTTACAGAATAATCATATAGTTTGGGAGAAAGTTTAGGAGTTCAAACCTTCTACAGAACAACCATTACATCAATATTCAGATATCATTTTTTAAGAACTACTACTTTAACAATTTGTATCTATGGCAAATCAATTAAGGGTATCTGCCATTGTGTCTAATTTTGAACTACTTACCAGCAGCACCAACCCACCGTCCATGTTAAATGATTAACTGTCACTCTTATAATGCATCCACAACTGACATTGCAGGAATATTTTGTGGTATTTCAAAGATCAAACGTTGCTCACCAGTTCTGAAATCCAGAGCTCTACTAAGACCAACCTTTATTCCTCAGCTAGTGTTTTTGAGTTCTTTCTATAAGAGTATTTTTTTTTCAGTATAGTTAACTTTATTTCTAAGATTGAATCCTCACGTACTTGAGTAAATATCACTTCATAAACGTTATCAAGTATCCGTATTTTGCAATTAAAGGATCTAACAGAGCTGACCATTTTCATATAATTAAAGGATCTAACAGAGCTGACCATTTTCATGTAATTAAAGGATCTAACAGAGCTGACCATTTTCATGTAATTAAAGGATCTAACAGAGCTGACCATTTTCATGTAATTAAAGGATCTAACAGAGCTGACCATTTTCATATAATTAAAGGATGTAACAGAGCTGACCATTTTCATGTAATTAAAGGATCTAACAGAGCTGAACTTTTTCATATAATTAAAGGATGTAACAGAGCTGACCATTTTCATGTAATTAAAGGATTTAACAGAGCTGACTATTTTCATGTAATTAAAGGATCTAACAGAGCTGACCATTTTCATGTAATTAAAGGATCTAGCAGAGCTAACCATTTTCATGTAATTAAAGGATCTAACAGAGCTGACCATTTTCATGTAATGTTTTAACAACTGATAATGTGTGGCTGTGGATAGTTTTATTCAAAGTGTGTCTTTCTCAGTTGAACCTTTGACCTAAAGTGCATAAAAGTAGTACAGCTGCTCCAATATTTTTAGAGAAAAAACTGCTGAGATACATGTACACCAACATCACCTTGAATATGAGATCTCAAATGTCAAAAAATCTAACAAACTATTTGTTCTCTGTATCTAATTATATTTCTTTACTTCTTCAATAAGTAAGATAAGTCTATCTGAACTAGTTAGATTAGCAAAAAAAAAAAATTAATTCTTATTTGACTTCAATTTGGTCTGATATATTATATATATATATTTTATATTTATAAAGTTTTTATAGCAATAATATTGATGTACATATTTCAGGAAAATTCTGAGGTGAGCTCCTACTATGTAACAAAACCAGGGTGTTCCTAAATGTTGAGCATCAATCATTCTTGCTAGCTCTGCTGACAGTCTCATTGAACATACTGCACAATTACCAATAAGGCACTAAGAAAATCATGTCTTTCACAACAGTAGGCACGTGACTTTCATTACTAAATTAAGTCACAGAAACTGTAAAGGAATAAAATGTACAAGTATAAATTTACACTTTATTTCAATCAAAACACAAACAATTAGGATTTTTTTCCAGCACACTCTATACTTTGATCATAAGAATGTTTATGAGCAAATGTATTTTATAATAATTGATGCCATAGTAACATTAAATCTATATCCAGACTATGAAGTTATAACTATTAGTTGTAACTTGATTTGTTCCTTACCATCAGAACCATGTTTAATTGATTAATACAATAACTTTTAAATGCAAACACCAACTTTAAACAACAATAATTTTGTACAATATCTTAAAACAGCAATATCATATAAAGTACCAAAACTGTGGCATCTCTGTGATAAAATTTACAGTAAATAAATGTGAAATAAAATTACAAATTATGCAAACAACAAACCAAATGAGAACAAAATAAGGAACAGTTATGAAATTCAAACAAATAAATTGTACAATGCGAGATCAGTACATGACAACAAAGCGATATGTTAAACTTTTCTTATTTGTACATCAAGGTTTTTAAGAATAAATTCAGTATGAAATTACAAAATGGTCTGTGATTACTTAAGTTTTCTGCAATAGAAGTGCCAATGAGATGTGATACAGTTAATTTTGTTACAAGGCAACAAGATAGGAATAACTGATAACCCCCGAAGTTGCTTGAGGCAACAAAACCAGAATTTTGTACAATGCACCGGACATGTGGTTTTGCAAGAATGATATATTAAACTTTTCAAGGATCACCGGGATAAAAAGTACTGTGTACACAGGAAGCGAGGAATCACACAAATAGTCACTATACTTGATCTTTGAAGACTAACAATGTTCACAGAAATCCCACCTCTTGGTCAGACACATGATAAACAGTTTGTTTCAGAGGTACTGGAGGAACAATTCTGTGAGTCAAGCAGAAGTTGGCCACATTCTGGACTTTCTTTGTAGAAAGAGTGAGGGTTGATCATGGCACAATTTACTGAACACTTGGAAGGACGATATTTGCCTGACCTGAAAAATTCTAAACTGGTACGTGAACACCTTGGTTTTTCTGGCCTTCACCTTGAGAATCTAGCACCTGCCGAGATGCTAGTTGTGGATACAACTGCAGGCTTGGTTGTCAAGGAACACGGAAAGATCCCTGAGATGAAACTGGCTTGGACACAAAAGTGGCTGTGTACAGATTCTGTTAACAGTGTGGACCATCTTTTGAAGTATTCCCGGTAATGCTTCGAGTCCATTTCTTCTGGATGACTTTTAAGTGTGCTTGAAGCTCATCTCTCATTTGAATTTGGTGCTGACTCTGCAGTTTCTGAAGCATAATCAGGAAACCATTAGTTTATACAGAATTTGAAACAAAATATGCAAATTACTTTAATATTCAATCACTTTTGAAGTTAAATGATTTAGTACTGTCACAGTATGGAAGGAAGAAACGTCTTTATTATTAGGAAATATTTTAAAGAAATATATTTACAAAAATAATAGCATATTTTGGAAAACTATTTTATCTTGCAAACATAATTTTTACTGAAGTAAACTTATTTCTTACAGTAATTTTACAAAGATGATGCTATATTAAATTATTCAAGTTTTCTTTTTTTAAATCTAAGTTAGCTACTTGTTCTTTATGCTGTGTTCGGTAAGAAAATAAGTCTGAACTGACTGGGATTTTTCCATATCAAAACTTTTACAAGATACATGGTGTATGAAAATATGAATTAAAAGTACCATTTAAATATATCTCATAATACTTTAGCATACATATAAAAAGCTAAATAAAATAACTGTAAGTTAAAATTCAAGAACTCATAAGGTATAAACAAAAACGTTATATTCTTGCATGACTAAACTCTCATATAATATAATATGTGGATATATATTTATTTTATATCATGTTTACAAAGGTTTCTCTACTTTGTCACAAGTTTGTTGGTGATCAGAGAACTGCATTAATCCTGCCTTTAGGGTCTCAAGATTTGTCGTGTTTGTTTCTGGCTGACTTGGCAAGTAGTTTGCAAACTGACTTTAATTAGTTTATTATAGGTGAAAATAGAGTAATCAGAAATTCTGTTAGGTTGCATTCCCACGAGATTACAGCTATTCTGAAGAAACAAGTGATTGAACGTTTTGTTGAGAAACTGAACCAATAAAGCAGTGAATCGTGAAGGTTTCCTTATAAAAATGACACTCATGCTGAGGTTAATACTAAATGACTCTACTTAAGATACTTCTCCATGTGGTTTCTATGGAATTTCTTTTCACTTTTTTTAACTTGTAAAAAAAGTGTATTTTATTATGTGTGAACTTTTTCATAATCATGTATGGGGATTTTGGGTTAAGACTGATATGATGAAACTAATTCCCATTTTTGTAAAAGTTTGGCAAAGGATTAATTAATCTGGTATTTCAGAGGGTGTGTGTTTGTTGTGAAGGTGAGGATTGTGTGGCAGTTGGTTCTTCTTGACTTTCAAACTTTTTTTATAAACCTTTCACTTCTGCTCACAGTCTTGAAGAACTAAATACTGAAATGTCTGAGGTCAGTAAGTAACTTGATGAAAGCAACATGACACTGAGTGTGACAGAAAAGTTCGTAAAGATGGTACAACTTAAATGATTGAGAAAATTACTGAAGAGGAGGCTAGAGCGTATCATGTGAAGTTAAGGTGAATGAAAATCAGAAAGTCACCAGTACTCAAAAGCAAGAGAAGTTAACTGGATTGATTTGAGTCAAAACTAACTACTTTGTCTGCAATGCATGACAGTGCTGTTGAGAATAAAGCTAATGTATACATATAGAGCAAATGATGGTCAAGATCTTAATAGCAAAAATATAATTAAATAAGAGAATGTTAACACTTTAGCCTAAGTTGGTAAGGATACTTCATATCAGGTTATTTCAACCAATTCTCAATTATCAGAAAACAGTGAAGATAAAGCGTCTAAATCTAAGCCTAACTTTCATTCATCGGGTGAATGTGCTTTGTTGTCTCAGCCATCTAAATGTATGACTTCTACAGGTAAAATATAGCATAAACAAGTTAGAGAAGACTTTGAATTTAAACTGTTTTTTACAATAAAGATCGACACACCTTTTAGTCTTAAGTTAATTGCGGTTTCATTCCAGCTATGCTTTGGTTTTATACTTTGTTGAATCATTTGACTTTTGCACTATATCATAGAATGCATTTTTTTACTCACAGTTTCTATCTTACTGGTACCAAAGTCTGGTTTAAATTAAGCTTTAAGTTGGTTTTAAAGTCTTGATGAATAGTTTCTTGAACTCTAAGCATCCTCTTACAATCAGCTGAACCAATGATTGAAAACTGATGGCAGATGACAGCATGTTGACCATTATTTTTGAATGTTCCTTAAGAAAAGAACAGTCAATGCACTGTCATCAGTACATGAGCACACATGGGACTGTAGTATTCCTGTTCACAGCAACCAGTTTTGAATCATTGGTTCAGTTGATTGTGAGAGGATGCTTAGAGTTAAAGAAACTTATTCATCAAGAGTTTAAGACTAGAGTGGAATTTAAACTAACTGTTGTTTTCTTGTATTTTAATTCTCTCTTATGTCTGTTACTCTAATTATAACTGTTAATTCTTTAAAGATAGTAATATTTTCATTTTTATTTGTTATTAATACTCTTCCTGGGGTAAATTTGGATAAAACATCTAAGGATAAATATTAGTGTAATCCAAACATTTAGGTACCAATAGAGTTAAGGGTAAACATGGACAGTGGTGGTCACATTCCAGCCATTAGTTTGACCGCCAGGTGTGTAAATTGTTGCTATCTGGTCTTGAACAGATTCTAAACTAATGGTAATGGGGACTTTTACTGCATATACCCGATCACCGTTTGTGATTCTATTTTAAATATTCACCACTTCAAAAGCTTTTTCCCGTCTTTGCTCAATTTCTTCCATTTTTCATTTATACAATGTTTATTTGGAATTTCCTTTAGAGGAAATCACTTCTGATATGAATGAGTAAATACAGGGGAAGAGCAAGGTGTTATATCCTCATTTACAGATGCCATTTTAGTTATTATCACTTCTGATATGAATGAGTAAATACAGGGGAAGAGTAAGGTGTTTTATCCTCATCTACAGACACCATTTTAGTTATTATCACTTCTGATATGAATGAGTAAATACAGGGGAAGAGCAAGGTGTTTTATCCTCATCTACAGACACCATTTTAGTTATTATCACTTCTGATATGAATGAATAAATACAGGGGAAGAGCAAGGTGTTTTATCCTCATCTACAGACACCATTTTAGTTATTATCACTTCTGATATGAATGAGTAAATACAGGGGAAGAGCATGGTATTTTATCCTCATCTACAGGCACCATTTTAGCTATTATACTTGCACAAAAGTAAAATTTTGGTTTAGTCGATTTAGTGTTTTTTAGGTTGCTGACTTTACCACTAAAAAATTACACTTTCTTCAATCCTACATTCAAGCTGAGAACCACTGAGATGTTTTCAATTAATATTCCAACATAACAACTTCCTTCAACCAGCTCAGTCTGAGCTAGAGAATTGAATCACCAGATTTTAGGCAAAAAATAGGGAAAACTAGTTGAAAATGTAGAGAAAATAGTGTCTAAAACAAGGGTAAGGTTATTTAGAAAATACAACAAAATGAGAAAAACTTACCTGTATGCTGAAGTTATGATAATGGATAATGTCTGGGCATATTACTTCATTATGTTTTCACATGCTAAATCTTATTTCTATTTCCACTGACACAGAAGGGTAATGTTACCAGAATACTCACAGATGCATACATCAGGATAACCTATACACTTTGGTCAGTTCTGAATTTATTATCTGTGATGTTAGAATAACTTAATTTTGTGTTTCTGATCAATATCTAATAGGTATCTTGATCAGTGGGTAGGGTCCCGGGCTGTCCGAGATATGCGACACCTCTGTTGATCCCATTTAAAAACAACATAGATGATTATATGTGTAACGAGAACACAGGCACAACAAAGGTGATTATATGTGTAACTAGAACACAGGCACAACAAAGGTGATTATATGTGTAACTAGAACACAGGCACAACAAAGGTGATTATACGTGTAACTAAAACACAGGCACAACAAAGGTAATTATATGTGTAACTAGAACACAGGCACAACAGAGGTGATTATATGTGTAACTGGAATACAGGCACAAGAAAGTTGATTATATGTGTAACTGGAATACAGGCACAACAGAGGTGATTATACATGTAACTAAAACACAGGCACAACAAAGGTGATTATATGTGTAACTAAAACACAGGCACAACAGAGGTGATTATATGTGTAACTGAAACACTAGTACAACAAAGTCGACTGTATGTGTAACTAGAACACAGGCACAACAGAGGTGATTATATGTGTAACTAGAACACAGGCACAACAAAGGTGATTATACATGTAACTAAAACACAGGCACAACAAAGGTGATTATATGTGTAACTGGAATACAGGCACAAGAAAGTTGATTATATGTGTAACTGGAATACAGGCACAAGAAAGTT